TTCTCTTCCCCTATCTCCCATTTCTCACTTTCGATTCCCTCTTCTCCCTCTTCCCCTCTCTCTCCACCTTCCACTCACCCTTCATTCCTCCTATACCCTCTCCACTCCTCCCCATTTACTTTCTTTGCTCTTCCTCCCCTCTTTTGAATATCCCATATTTCCTCCGTCTCACTCCTTTCCCCTCTCTCCCATCTCCCCTCTTTCCCATCTACTCTCTTCCCTATTTCCTTCTTTTCTCTCTTTCCTCTCCCTTTTCTCACCTCTCCTTCCCTTCCCTTCTTCCCTTTTTTCCTCTCCCCTCTCCCCATCTCCCTTTTTCCCTTCTTCCCTCTCCCCATCTCCCCTCTTTCCCCTTTTTTTCTCCCTCTCCTTTCCCCTCCCCCTCTCTCCTTTCCCCTCTTTCCCATCTCCCCCTTTTCCCCTTTCCACTCCCCTCTCCTTTCCCCTCTCCCCTCCCTCCCTTCTCCCATCTCCCTTTTCTCCTTCTCCATCTTCCCTCTCCCCCTTTCCCCTTTCTCCCATCTCTCTTTCCCCTCTCCTTTCCCCCTCTTTCTCTCAAAAACCCTGACCTGCAAGTGACGTCATACACACTTAATCCTGGCCTACTCTGCAAGGCTCATGAACCTCGCTCTTTTCGTCGGCTTTTGACAGAAAGTAATAAACATATTTCTATTTTGATTTCTACATGACCTGGGGAGGTTTTTGGGGATTGCGGGGGGGAGGGAGGCGAGCTGATGGGGGATGTAAGGAATGAGGCCTTGAGTGGGGGTGGTTTGAAGGGGTAAGCAGAAGATAAGTAAGATAAAGCAGACAGAGAGGAGAGGGAGCGGAGATAGAGACAGATAGACAGTTCAGAGATAGCTGAACCAAATAGGACAGAGAGAGAGAGAGAAAGAGGAGTGAAGGTTGTTTGGGGTGTGGTGGTGTGGGGTGTGGTGTGTGGTAAGAAAGGAGAGAGTAGAAGAGAGAGACTGTGGTGAGATTGTGAGGAGAGGAGGAGAGTAAGAGAGATGAGTGAATGAGAGGAGTGTGGTGGAGAGAGAGATGAGAGATTTGTTTGGGAGAGTGGGGTGGGATGAGAGAGAAGAGAGACTAGAAAGAGAGAGATAAGGAGTGGTTTTGGATGAGAGTTATGTGAGATGAGAAGAGGAGAGAGAGAGAAGAGAAAGATGAGAGTGTGGTGTGTGTATTGTAGTTGGGGGGGAGGAGAGGAGAGAGAGGGGGACGAGAGAGAGAGAGAGAAGAGAGGAGAGAGGGGTTGTGGAGTGTGAGAGAGAGGTGGTGTGTGGGAGGGTGGTGAGGTGTTGGGTGTGTGTGAGAGAGAGAAGTTGGTGTGTAGTAATGTGTGTTGGTGTGTGGAGAGAGGGGGGCGGGGGAGAGAGGGAGAGGAGAGAAGAAGCAGAGCAGAGTGGGATATGCTGTGACAGACAAAGCAGACGAAGAAAAGGAGACAACAAAAACAAAGAGAGAGAAAGAAAGACAGGAAAGGAAACCTGTAAATGAAAAGTCAAACAAAGAAAAAAAATCCCATCAACATTCCCAAGCACGAATCACGGGCGATTAGCGAACCCAGAACAAACAACAAACAAATAAACAAACCAACGAAAGAAAAAATAATTCGAGAAAAAGAAAGACACATAAGAAA